AAAAAAAAAAAAAAAAAAAAAAAAAAAGGTGTTGGGAAAGTTTGAATTGATATTTTATGGAAAGAAAATGGGTAGAAGGGAGGATGAGACACCTTTTGTTACTTAAATTAATATTTACTAGTTTACAATTGCAGTTATCATTTTAGTGGTTTTGCAAAGAGAACAATCGCAGTCCAGCTCCTTTATGTTTCCTTCTTCTTCTTTTTTTCTCCTCAAAAACAATTGGACTGCTGTGGTGTGTTGACGTGATAGATGATTTGGTTAATTGCACTTGTGTTGTATTTAGGATGAGGTGCAAGAATTCTATACTTAAATTCTTATGTTTATTGTTTGACAGCTAGAGCTTGCTTTTAGAAATGAGTTTGGAGAAGTCTCAACCAGTTCAAATGATGAGGTGTGTTGCTTTCCATTTATTTTTTGATGTTTATGATTGTTATCCAAATTTATGGCATCATAGACCTAGTCAACTCAACACCTTATTATCAACTAGAAATCAGTAGTTTTTCTTTTCTCTCTAACTCTATTTTCTGCACATTAGGCTGAACTTCAGACTAACATGTGTTAAGCAATTCATAAACATAATGATATGTATTTGTGTTGAGTGTAACTGATGCAGATAATGAAGTCCTATATTTATTAGAATTCTGTTAAGATTATCAATATATAGGAATGATTTAGAATTCAGCATCTTTCAATAAAGATTCCTATTAGGAGTGACTTTATATGCAAAGATTAGAAACATAAGCAATAAAATTTGAGTTTTAACACTTTCAAAGATAAGCAACGTAACCTAAAAAATTGAATATTTTGTACCTCTGTAGGCACAACTCTTGCACGAAGTAGACAAGACTTGTATTTAATAGGGTGGCTAGAAAATTAGTGGTGTAACAACCAGGCAGTTAGTATTTTAGAATTCGTGGGAAGAAAAATAAATATTTATATTTAATCAATATATTGGTTTATTTATGTGATCTGGTGCATTAGTGCTGCTATGATCACACCCCAATATATTTTTTTATTTATTATTCTACTTTAAGAGTTGTTATATCTATTATCTGCATAAAAATTTAGTTGATAAGAATCCCTCTGGTTTTAAGATCAAAATCTATTGATAAGGAACTTTAAATATTCGCGTGATAGACACCCTGAGACTGACTATGTCCAATGAACAAATATTAGTTCAGCCCTTTTGGGAAAGTTTATTTTATAAATTGTTGTTTAGCAGATGGTGTTTACCTATTGGACAAAATTGTGCATTTTTTCAAAGCATGGTCAAACAAGTTTCTAGAGCAAAAAAAAAAGTGAAGCAACTGTTAGTAGCCTTTGCTAAACATGCTAAATAGCAACTTGTTAGTCAACAAGTTTTATGAAAAGTCAACTAGGACATTTAGCAAAAGGAGAGCTTTTTAGCTTTAGATTCTGTTTACTGCTATTAAGTTTGTCAGTGCTCTTGTGACCTATGATATAGCTTTCCCCCCTACCAAAAGAATTTGGAAGCAGCAAAAATGTTGTTTCTTTGTAAGTTGGGTACTAAAATGTGAAAAAGGAAAAATGTCTGCCTTTGGAATTTCACAATTCTATATTTTACCTTTAAATTGCTTCTACACTGTAATGAGCAGTCTAGCATAGAGATCAATGCCATGTTATTCTCCAAATTCATATCTTTGAAAAACTTTTTTGAATTGCAGAATACATGTTTAAGGATATTCCAACACGTACTTGTTTGGGTGGAGGAGCAAACATTCTGGATAGCTTGTAGGTTTCTTATGTTAGGTTTTGAATTGGAGCTCTATTCTCCAAGCGAATACTGCATGGTATACTGGTATCTATATGCTGTCTTGACCAAGCTTGCGGAGAAAACACATCTTAAGTTGGCATTGACCCATGATATTGGTACGTGTTCCAATTCTAATTACCTTTTCTGTTATTAGGTTCTTGTAATGGTTATTTTTGACAATTTTTTTGTGAAATGCGAAGATTCAAGCAATACTTGTTGCTATTTGCTGTGGAACCACAACCCCACCCTGAAAAAAAAAAAAGAACGGACATGAATGGGCCAGTCCAAGCATCTGAGACTGATTGTGCTAGAGTGTTTGTATTTTTGTGTTTCTATATTTGGATTTCAACATATTGTTCTAACAGCACTAGTTTTGTTGGTGTCATTGTGCAATCAGGATAACTATGATTTAAAGGATGAGTGTTTTATTGATTGCTTTGAATTTGTCAAAAGTAATTTTCTAGTCCAGGAAGTATTAACAAATTGTCTTGTGACCTACGTGTTGTAGTTTCTGTGTTTTCTTAAGCCACCAAGCTTCTAAGCTGATTTGATGTGTTCCAATACCTATGTTTATCAGCCAAGCGGAAGGGGAAGAAAAAAAGGGATTCTTCAAAAGATGTTGGAAGGGAATCTCGGATCCCTCCAGCAGTCTTGTTTCTTCAGTGTTATATTTGTCTTGCCGAAGGTCTTACTATGGTAATCTTGCTTGTTTAATGAAGTCTATGTCATACTATGATTTTCATGGAACTTATACTCATTGCCATAGAGAAAAGGTGCAAATAAAGATGTCAACTTTGTATTTTTTTTATTTAAGGATGTTAATTTTGTTAATTTCTAGATGCCAACTTTCAACTATTTCTATTTAAGGATGTTAACTTTCAATTTTTTCTATTTAAAGATATCAACTTTCAACTTTTTCTATTTAAGGATTAATTGGATGGTGATATGACATCCTTAAATAGAAAAAGTTAAAAGTTGGCATCCTTAAATAGAAAAGGTTGAAAATTAGCATCTTTATTTAGAAACTGACAAAGTTAATATCCTTAAATAGAAAAAAGTACAAAGTTAACATCTTTATTTGCATCTTTACTCCATTGCCAGAAGATCATGTGCGTCACTTGGGTGTTATGCTTTTCAGTGTTAACTAATGCAACTCTGTTTTTCCAGATGCTTGCTTCCTTGAGGAATGAACTCCAGGTCTTACAGAGTCCAAGCCCCTTCAATACTGAGCATGAGGTTTAGTATCAATTTCCTAACTTTTGTTTGATTTATTTTGAATGCATTGTCATGATGGTGGTATAACAGGAAGCTATAATTGTCAAAATGACTGACGTCCTGATTAATTCCTCGCTGGGTAGTGATGTAGTTGACTGGTAGAAGTGATGTCTGATGGTGCATCAGTAAATGTACTCATTGGAGATACATTATGAACCAATCACTAACCCAACTCACTTGTATGCAGAAATTTGTTCAGCATTTTGAGCTATTACAGAAAGCTTGTATTCCCGATCATGTTACCTATCAATCGTTCAAGGAATGCACAACCTATGCACGCTTTTCTGTAAGTATTTTCTATGACATCTAACAATTAAAATTTTGAATTTGCTTATTGACTCATCGCAAGAGCATTAACTTATTTCACTTTGCAACCAGACACTAGTTATGTATAACTACTTTAAGGATGCTCAAAGGATTGCCAAGGAGATTAAGAATAATTTTTCCAATGATCCGGAGAGAGCAGCGGAACTTCGAAGTTTAGAGCAGGTTGCAGAACATAATAGTGTTGCCTTAAGTATCATTTCCAGAGTAGGAGCACTTGACCCATCTCTCAAGGTTTCTTTCGAGTTCAGCCATCATCCTTATTTTGCAACTGCTGTTGTCAAGAGATCCTGAGAGTTCTTTTAATGATCTACACCAATTTTGGAATCCATTTGTAGGATTAAGAGGCATAACCTAGTATTACATGTAGCAATTGTAACATCATTATAAGTTCAATTAAGTCTTTTAATAATTTTGTTTGATTTATGTCTTGATAGGAAAATAAGAATAGATATTTAAACACATTTTTTCCATTCTCTTTCGCGACCAAATCTACGTATGTAGTATTGTGTTTGGGAGAGCGGCGATCTTTGTGGGTGTGGAAGTTTCTATTGTCAAGGATTTTTATTCAAATTTCTTACCGTCCAAACATGTGATGCTAGGAAATGAAGAAATTGTTGTCATCGCTTTCTTTTACTTGACTGAAGCCTTGTTCGTTTTTATCTCTTGGTGATTACTGAACCTTACCAAATCCAAAAATTTAGGTCATCTTTGGTGAATGCAGCAGCTTTTTTATGTTAAAATACAAAATTAATCTCGTGTTTGATTTGAAGGAAATAAAGAGAATGAGAAACAACATTCTTCCATTTCCCGTCGCTTCCCTATCCCCCCTCATATTTAGTTATGCTAAAATTGTAAAAGAAAATAAAGAAAAGATCCTCTCTTCTCTCTCCTCTCCTCTAATCTTTGTTATTTAAATAGGGCAATTTACCTACTTTCGCGCTTCTCTCGTCACCTCAAACTAAATGAGCTGTAAAGATAAATTGTAAGTGTAATATCATAAGCAAGAAGTCTATACAACCCCCTACATTATTAATTAGGGTGAGTAGTATTATTTATGAGTTTCTTGATTTGTACATTGGATTTCAAACAGGAACAATTGGATGAGGAGACAGCTGCAATATTAAGGGTTTATTTCTATTTAATTGTTTAAGTTGGCAAATTGAACTGTGTAGTGTTTTTTAATTAATTCTTTATTAAAAATTATTTAATAGTGTAAGTTTTTTTTTTTTTTTTTTAATGTAGAAAACAAACCCCAAAGACTAGAATTTGAGTTGAAATGCACTGCATTACATTAACAGTTTGCATTAAAGGTCTATTTGGCTAGAGATCCACTTTATTAGGAAAGTACGATACAAAAAGTTAAATAGCACAATATGAAAAGGTGATAAATTTTGTTAAAATTTTGTTGAATTGTTAATTTTTTTTATGTATTGTAAGAAATTGGTACAAAGAAAGTTGGTAAGAAAATTGTTAAGTAGATTTCACGTAAAAAAGTTAAAGGGAAAATTTTTTCATTCAAAAAGGGAAAATAAATGTTTTTTTAGTTAGGAATTATGTTAGAGAAAATAAATGTTGAAAATACTATTTTTACCCTTTTTTGTTATGGTATTAAGAAGTAAAAATACAGAAATAAACTTAAAAAATTCCCAGTAAAGGGGAAAGTTGGGGATAAACTTTCCTCCCTAAATAGCACCCACTTTGAGTTTGCAGAAGAGATTGTGTGTATTAGTTAGTTTGAGTTACAAAAATAAGACAGCTATTTCCTCAAAAATCCTAGTTGGTACATAACAAACGCGCTCAAATGTGCCATTTACTTTGTAACAAAAATTAAGTAAAGGATTTCTTGATTATAGTGACAAATTTGAAATTAAATGTTGAAGATTTGTAGATTGAGCTCAAGATGGTGAACCTAAGAAAGTAAAGGGATAGATCCCATCTAAAACAATTACAATTAAAAAGTGAGCTCAAAATACAAAACCCTTTGTGTGTATAAAGAAAGTCCCAAAGAAAATCTTTCTAGAAAGGGGAACAATTAAGCTCACAAAGCTTCTAGCAAAGCTTAGAAAAGATTACAACTTGTCAAAAATTCAAATTATACAAATCTTTAAAATTGTAGAATTTATTCTTGCTATTAGATATGATATCACAAAAGTGTGCCTACTAGCCTTTTTAAGAAGTCTTTGTGCTGTCCAAGGGCCTCAAAAGTTATTGCAATAAATCTCCACTTTATTCTTCATCTTTCCAATTTAAATCTCAAACAATCTACCTTGGGAAAAAGGAATTGACCTATTGAAAATGCTCAATAATTTCACTACTTGTTAAACTATCAAAAGTGTCCATTTTAGAATTTTTTATTTGAACTTAGAAATATTGATTTGAACCTCTTCTAAGAAAACTTTGAGTTATTTTTTGGGATTGATTTGAATTGATTTAGATTGGTTTGAACGCAAAACTTTGATCAAAGAGGATAAGAGCTTGTTAAGCTCTTTATTTTAATCATGGAGAAAGATTAAAAACCTTTAATTGGCTTAGTTGCACACTTAAAATAGAACTCATCAAATACCAATAAATCAAGGTTTTAGCTCATCATCAAAATTCACCAAGAAACCTAAAATTGGTTGAATGCATTTTTCTACAATTTCTAAAGGGTCATTAGCAACTACTTTGTGTACAAGTTGTTGTTGTTTTCGATTCACAAACTTAATGTTTTTGGCTTAATATCTTGTTGTTTTTCAGCTTTTATTATGCACATTTTGTTGAGTGTTTGGTAGGAAATTTTGGGTGATCTAGTGTGTTTTGGGTGATTTACTTTTGAGCTTTGTACATCTATAGAAATGCTTTACAAGTGTGACATTTGCACACTTTTGGTTCTATGGTGTGACAAACCACTACTAATAACAACTTGAACTTGAGCTTTTAAAGGTCCATAGACATTACTTGAAAAGTTGTTAGACTAATGGTGACCTTCAACCCAAGTTGTTCCATGATGTTATATATGTACTATGTTCTATCGTATACCAAAATTACAAGTTGGCATTGCACTAGCCTACCAAACATGGTTTACACAATTTGAAGGGCTATTTATTTTACTATTGCTATGCATCTAAACACCTTGAAATTGATCATGAAGAATTCATTTCAAAGCAAGAAAGACCGAATCCCCTTTGAACAACTTGTGTTGTCACTAGGGTTTGTTAAATGGCTTCCTATTGCTATAGAAACTCGTTGGCAACCAGTTTTTTATGGCAGTCCTTGAAGGAGTAAGGAGTATCATGTGTCCTAATAGATTCAACAATTTCTTTGAAGTCATTATTGGCACCATTAAAGGCATGCAAGGTGAATCCTCAATGGGGATAGGATGTTTGATCACTAATATTTCATTTGAAATTAATTCCAAAGAATGTAAGTACTTGGAAAGAGATTGAGTACCACAAATCATACTTTGAAACTATTCCTTCAAGGCAAGAATACAAAATCATGTTTAGTTGGTATATAGATTTTAAAGTGTAACCCATGCTTCTTTTGATAATTTTAATGTTGTTGCGTACAAAATACCAATTCCAAATCATACGTCATGATAGCATGTTTGATTAGTTGATCCTAGCATTTTAAGTATATAAAGGTTGTGTTAAAATTGATAATTAATCTAAGTTTAAGTTGTAGTGGGAATTAATATGTAATGAATAAGGCAATAGCTAGCCATGATAAATAGTTATTTTTGAATTTAAAAATTAAATATCAACATAATTATCTTGACTTATCACAAACAAGTACATCTATTAAGCACAATGTACAAGTAAAAATTTAGACCTGGTAATTTTTTACCCAATCCGCTAAATTGCCCATTACCTATTTGTTTAAAACAGATACTTATAACCTATGACTTGTTAATGACCTATTAAAAGAACCCAACAAGTCATGGGTTAATAATGGGTTGACCTATTGGGTTAACGGGCTTGACCCGTTTACCTATATGAAAATTTAAAAATTTTTAATTTTTAATTTATTATCATTCCCACGTAAACTTCTAATAATTGACTAATTTTCCCTAATTAGCTAATTGATTCTCTTAGCTCATGATCTTCTCGAAGCAAAAATAATCCCACTTCTTTAATGACTCACCTCTCGACCTTTCCTATTCTTGCTTGCCCTAATACTCTTTAAAACTCTAACTCTTCAAAGTTCAAACTCTTCTCATATTCTTTACCCTCTATAGTTTATACAGCCTTCGACTTTCAAATTTGGACTCCACCTTTTTTCTTTAGTCTTTAACATTGTCTCACACTCAGATCTTAGTCTCATCAAGTCATTGTCATGTTGACTCAGCTCTTTCTTTCTTTCTCCTTTGAGTCCGATAACTGCTTTTTTTGTTACTAACTTTTCTCTCTAAAACCTTTAAGGTAAGTTGTTTACTTAGTTATACTTTTTAGTTTTTTTTTTCCATTCCAATTAAAAATTCTACTTGATCTTCTCCTTTGCTTACTTAGATGCATTCCATTGATTGATTCTTTAAAAGCAATGACCAAGACAAATATATTTCAATGAGGTTTGTGTTTTTTGGTTGTCATGCTACTATTGTTTTTTTTTTATTTTTTGGCTATTGAGATTTATAAGTGTGTGTTGTTCTCGAATTTGATGTGCATTGTTCTTTGAAGTAAAGTGAAAAGATAATTCTGAGTAATTATAAATATATTTTATTAAATTAATGAAATTTTTTTTATAAGGTGTTAAATTTTATTTTTAAATCTTTATAATATGTACAAATTATAGAGAAAAAAAATTTAATTGGGTTAACTCGTGGGTTGACCTGTGACTTGTGATGAATGAGTTAAAATCAGTTTTCATTAACTCATGATCCATTTTAACCCAACCCATTTTGACCTGTGACCTATTTTGACTTAACCCTAACTCAGCCCAACTTGCCCCGTTTGCCAGCTCTTAGTAAAATCAAGTTTACATACAAAGGAATTAAATTCACAATCTTAAAGTTACATATGATATTTCAATTTTTAAATCACCAATTGTTTTATCCAAGCTTCATGCACTAATAATAAATAATAACATAAAAGTTTTTTTCAATTTGCCTTAAAGAATAACACGCACTTGTTAAAAGGTTATTTTAAAAAGATAATTTTTAAATTTGTCCCCAATAAATTTTTTAAAATGTAAAATTTAATTGTTTTGCAATTAAAATTATTAAAACATCTAATCATAATTATCATTTTCATCATTTAAATAGACTCCTACTAAATGATGGTTGTACTTTATTTAAATAATAGTTGTACCCCATTTAAATAATAATTATAATTGAATAACCTTAATAATTTTAATATCGAAAGGTTTTAATTTTGTATATACTCACAAATTTTTAAATTTGTAATAAAAAAATTTATTTAAAACACCCTTACATTTTAAGCTCTCTTAAACGGCCTCGTAGTTTGCCCTCAAGAAATCATTCTCAAATAATAAATAAAAATAGATCGTGCATGGCCGGATAGCCAGATTTTTATTCAAAAAAAAAAAAAAAAAAAAAAACTCTGACACAGCTAACAACTCAATAAGAGAGTACAAAGAACATGATAAGAGCTAGTGTAGAAGAATTATTCCTTAGAGTTTACTTTACCACCGCCTTTTTTATTTTATTTTTGGTTAAATGTTAAATTTGGTCCTTCAGCTTTATAAAGTTACACTTTTTTGATCCCTCAATTATTTTTTACACCTTTTTGATCCCTCAACTCTAAGAATTGCACAATTTTAATCTTCCATCAGTTAACTCACAACTGACAGTTAAATATTCCAGAATGGCACCTTTTTAATGACATGTCAATGACAAATCATATGATTAGCTTAGGTGTACATGCCAACTCAAATTTAATTGTTATTTTTAATTCTTTGTCACTATTTCTAGCCATTTTCCCTCTATTTGTCACTGTTTCTCTTCTCCCATCCCACTCATCCCCCTTCTTGGCCATGACTGGGTTCGTCACGAACCTAGATATGTTTTGGGTTCGTTGCGAACCCAAGTCTGTTCTGGGTTCGTCGTGAACCCAGATTTGTTCTAGGTTCATTGTGAACCCAGATTTGTTTTGAGTTCATCGCGACTTTAATATCAAGAATCAATATTGAAACTAAGAAAACATGGATTCGTAATGCAATATTCATCCACGTATACTAAAATAAGGATTTGAAAAGGAAACACAAATACATGCAAATGTGAAATCAACTTATGAGTTACGGCTAATGCAAACAAGCAAACGTTATAGTCTTACAGGATACATATTAGCAGGCTCCAAATGCTTGAGAAATGACAATGCAGAAGTTTTAAAAAACCAATTAATAAGGTTGCAATGAAAAAAAATCTACTGCGAATTTATCAATATTTTAACACATATTGTTGGAAACAAAAATAATTTTGGGGGAAAAGAATACAGAAATCAGAGAATGTAGTCTGCCTTTACTTTTGCCCAAGTTAGTCTCCATTTTTTATCCTTTTCAAAAACTATGGTAGAAACCTATTTAAAGAACCTAATCAGATATGCTCTTTATACAATTCTAAAAAGCATGCAAGATGCACAAAAGAAAGCAAACATTGGAATCAATCTAGTTGATAATTATGTATAAAATGCCAGAGTCAACCAAATACTGCTCAGCTTTTCTCTTCCAAACCTAGCAGATCTAGGTTCGATGTAACCCAACAGATGGGTTCCATCAAACCTAAGTTGGGTTCGAGGAACCCAGCAGATCTGGGTTCAACAAGACCTAAGAGATCTGGGTTCGAGGAACCCAGCAGATGGGTTCCATCAAACTTGAGTTGGGTTTCCTTGAACCCAAATCAACTGGGTTTGAGGGAACCCAGCAACACAAAGGAAGAAGAGGAAGAAAGAAAAAGAAGAAAGAAAGGAAAAAGATGGATCGAAAGCAGGGAATAAGATGGATCAAGAAAGGGAGACATGGGTATTAAAGGTAAATTTGAAGTTTTTTATTTTTTTATTAAAAATATAAATGCTAATCAAATTTGATTTATGAGTTGGCGTTTACATGTCATCAAAAAAATGTCCATATTAATACTTTTTTAAGTTGTTTTCACCATGTCATAAAAAAATATAAAAATGTCGCATAAGCGGAGTTAACTGCTCAAATTGACAGAAGAATTGACGTTGTGCATTTTTTAGAATTAAGGGATTAAAAAAGTACAAAAAATTGTAAAGGGACCAAAAATATGCAACTTACTAAAATTGAGGGACCAAAATCAACATTTAACCTTTATTTTTTTCCTAAGAGTTGACACCGTACAAGTTCTTAAAATAGAGAGAAAATATAGAGACACAGATGCAAAATATTGAATTAAATAAACAAGAATAATATATTCATTAGCTACTGAATAATTGTAAAAAAAAGTAAATAAATAAAGATAAATAGCGACGCCGACGACTCAACCAGAACTTCACAACTCATTGTATTTCCAAGGCTTCTTGCTTCGGTCTGGTATCTGAATCTACCGACCAATTTCTCCCTCTCTCCGTTGAATTCAGCTGCAGGTAAATTCTCATCGATCTGATTTCTCTTTCTTTGCTACATCTGTTTGTATGCATACAGATTTCTGTATGTTGGTGTTTATGTGTTATTTTTATTTCTGAGGTTTGAGGTTTATGCAAATCTGAGACTCTTAGATGTTTTGACGATATTTCCTTTTTTTTTTTTTTTTTTTTTTTTTTTTTTTTTTTCTGGGTAGATCTTCTCTCTTAGGAGTCTAAAAGTGGATTCTCCTTATTTTTTCCTTTCAATTTCGAACCTTTTGTTTCATTTTGGTGGGGATTAAGTTGTTGGGTTCTGCTTTGTTTTCAACCTTTTTTTTTTCTATTTCATGTTTCGTTTTGATTTGCTATTTCTTTTGTGAAATTGTCTGTTTTGATGGCATGTAATCGTATGTTTGCACGGGAATTGTTAAAATGCGTTGGTTATTAGTTGGTCGCCTTATTTTTTTCTCAATTACATATATATATATATATATATATTGAAAAAGAACGTGTATTACGTGCTAATAACTAGAATTATAGAACATGATGGTTGTTATGGATTTTGGCATAATTAGATCTTATTTGGTGGATGTGAACTCTTTGAAGCAAGGATAAAGTTAAGGTTTTTAATGCATTAACTGAACTTGCATGTGATTTTATCTTCAAGACTGAATTGAGTTGGGTAGTTTGAGGGGAGTAGCAAGTTTATAAGGAAGAATACATTGTTTAATTGGTGGGTATTTGTAGAATTTTCATTGAGAGGTGAGAGAATGTCTAGCGGGGGTACACAGAAGAGCCTGAGGAAGGCACTTGGAGCCTTGAAGGATACCACCACTGTCTCATTGGCTAAAGTCAACAGTGACTACAAGGTATATTTAGTAATAAACAATCCTTTTTAATTATTTTAATGATGGGCATGTGTGTGATCCTTTTTGGTTCTCTACTTTGTATTTTGCAGGAATTGGACATTGCTATAGTTAAGGCCACAAATCATCATGAACGCCCTGCAAAGGAAAGACACATTAGGGGTGGGTTCTCCCATCTAATCATTTAATCTCTCCTGAAAGTTGTTGCACTAGATGCCAAACATCTAGTCTTCTGTTTGTCTTTATTTGGTCTTGTTTTTTGCACTATTTGGATTTGCCTATAGGGTAAATACTTCATGAGTCAGGTTTTACATGTGTTTCCATTGCAGCTATTTTTGCTGCCATTTCAGCTACAAGGCCTCGGGCTGATGTTGCATATTGCATCCATGCCCTTGCCAGACGATTATCCAGGACACATAATTGGGCGGTATGTTAATGTTGCAAGTACCATGTTTCATTGGGATAACTGATTATATGGTTACACCACATAAGTTAACTATGCATTATTGCATTTCATAAAAGTACAAGTTTCTGGCTTTACTTAAGAAATAAAATGTCAATATGTTTCATTTAATTGGATTATTCTTGCTTCTTAACTCCCATTATGATCTTGGCATCCGAGCATTTCTTTAGAGCAAGAAACTCTGCATCTAATTTGTGAGCTCACCAGGAGGAGAGTAAAATTTTTTACTGGAAAATATTGGATGCAACAGATTTCCAGACATCTCAAAAACTATTGGCGCTGTAATGCCACATATGTGTCTTAGAACAAAAAAAAAATAATAATAATAAAAATAAATAAATAAATAAAGAGGCTGTCTGTTCAATTCCTTATTCAGTTAGTAATTTATACACTTTTAGTACCTTCTAGTTCTGTGATCCTTGTTATATGCTGGCTTTACTTATCCATCCCTTTTCAATTTAAACAACAAAAAATAAGTGACTTATTTATGTATCACAGAGTATTTACGAAGGTGTATCCATGGTAGTCTCATATACAGAATTTTTATTCTTTTTTATTATGAAGGCTTTGCTTTCAATACTGTTAACCTTAAGTTTGACTTATTATGTGAATAGAAAGTATTTCTAATTGTTAGCTTACAAAGGAATCTTTGGTTAGCATAATTGGCGCCTAAAACATCATGAATAATTTGTTGTTTTCAATGCAGTTTCCCGAAGAACCTGATCTTCAATGTTCGTATTATAATATGCATTTGGATTATAGAATTTGGTGGCTGAGTGTTTGTTGGAATGTAGGTTGCTTTGAAAACTTTAATTGTCATTCATCGTGCTTTGAGAGAAGTGGACCCTACTTTTCATGAAGAACTCATTAATTATGGCAGAAGCAGAAACCATATGCTTAACATGGCTCATTTCAAGGATGATTCTAGCCCAAATGGTACTTGACCTTATCCTCCGTGGAAATTTGGTTATTATTTTTAAGACAAGGTTATGAATTTTTCTATGATATGCCATACAGCATGGGATTATTCTGCCTGGGTTCGCACCTATGCATTATTTTTAGAGGAGAGACTGGAATGTTTTCGTGTCTTGAAGTATGATGTGGAGATCGATCGTCCAGTAAGATGTTTATGCTTTCAAATTAATCCTTCATTTCAGTTTTATGACTTGGAAGCAAAGAAAGTGATATTCTTCTTTGAAATTATTTTCATTTGACTAAACATGTAAAGAAATACAGTTTGCTTTCATAGGTATCCACTTTCTGTTGCTACTCAAAAGAGAAGAAAAGTTAAATTGATTCACTACGCACTGTACTTTTTCACCTAAATTGCTTCCATGGAGGATTAAAAATTAAAATGTATCAGAACCTTAAAAGAAAACCCTTTCTTTTCCTTAATTTTCTATCTTTTCATGTTCTGATCATAGGTAATATAGCACCAGATATTTGTTTAAAGTTGTTAGTCTTGAAAAACAAGAAAAGGTGCAGATAAGGATACAAACTTTGCCATTTTTTCTATATAAGGATTTGAACTTTGTTGGTTTCTAAATAAGGTGGTAAACTTTAAACTTTTTATGTTTAAGGTTGTCAACTTTGTGTTTTTTCTATTTAAGGATTAATTGGATGATGATGCTGATGTGGCAATGGCTTTTTGAACCATGCAATTAATCCTTAAATAGAAAAAGTGAAAAGTTTACTGCCTGATTTAGAAACCAACAAAGTTTGCATCTTTGCATAGAAAAAATGGCAAAGTTTGTATCCTTATCTGCACCTTTTCTCCTTCGAAAACTGCTTAAGATTTCAAGTATTATCTTTTTTTTGGTGGCTACATGTTGCTTATATGCTGTATGCTCTAATGGCTGTCTGCTCTCCTGCCTGCACTATTGGAATGGTTGGTTTAAGTTTAATTGATTTAAGGAATCCTATATGGACTTTATTCTTTGAAATTTAAGAAGAATTCTTACAAGTTGTGTGGTTCTGGCAAGGCCTAACTACATAGATAATTCATAGACAAGAATTATGGTGCAGAGAACAAAAGAATTGGATACTGCTGAGTTACTTGAGCAGTTGCCAGCTTTGCAACAGCTTCTTTTTCGTGTGCTAGGTTGCCAGGTGATTCTTTATGAAACCTTATTGGTGTCTAGTTTTTATTTGTGCCCATGACAACTTGGATGGCATGTGCATTTATGTTGTACACTCTATGAATATTTTGATTTTCCCTTGCTCAAATGGGATTTTTCCATAAAATTTCTGTGCAGCCACAAGGTGCCTCTGCCCATAATTTTGTGATACAGTTAGCACTTTCAATGGTTAGTGAAGTGTTTAAACTTAAGTCTATTTTACTTTTCGCAATATGGTTGAGCTAAGGTTGGAGATGACGTTCCCTTTGTCTGATTCTTGTCTTTTTATTATTCAAACAGGTTGCATCTGAAAGTGTTAAAATCTATCAAGCTATAAGTGATGGTACTGTTAATCTGATTGACAAGGTAGGACAATGAGATTGACTTTCTGAATAAAAACCCATTCCATTCTACACAGCAGTTCATGTCTGATAATTTGGACTATGGCAGTTCTTTGAGATGAAACGCTCTGATGCTACGAAGGCCCTGGATATATACAGGAGGGCTGGGCAGCAGGTGAAATTACTGTTCTAATAAATAATTCTGGCTGATATACTTGTGTAGATTATGAAGATTTTATTCTGTTGAATAAAATGCTGTTTTTCTTCTTTCCTCTTTTTTTTTTTTTTCAGGCAGAGAGATTATCAGAGTTTTATGAAGTCTGTAAAAGTATTGATCTTGGACATGGAGAGAAGTTTATCAAGATAGAGCAGGTTTGGTTAACCTTTTTTGCCTTCTCAAGCATATTTTGTTTTATTTGGAGTTTCTGTATCATTGTTGACTTATTATTATTATTTTTTGTTTATTTATTTATTTATTTTACGCCGAAGCCCCCTGCATCATTTCTACAAGCAATGGAAGAGTATGTAAGAGAGGCTCCTCGGGCTTCAACAGTTAGAAAGGATCAGGTGTGTGTTAAATGATTTTTAATTTAGCAAGACCTTTTTATTTATCCTCACTGTGTATGCATAGAAGAATATATTATATGAAAATAATAGCATGTGATATCTTATTCTATTTTTTCTTATGTCTGAATAGGTTTATTAGTTTGATTTGCTTATAATAACACTGCATGTATGAAGGTTTTCTTTTTATTGAAGTGACCTAAGAGATGATGTCTATTCATCTTCTTTGACCAAGGGATTATGTTACGTTGCATGAATCATATTATCGTCTCCTTCCCTATTTCTTCCATTTCCTTCTTTCAAAAATTAAACATGTCAGTTTCTAATTATTTGTTAAAGACTTGGAAATATAGTATTGTTTTGTTTCTTGAACATTTGCCATGATTGTACTGTCTCATTATCTTTGTAAAACCAGGTAAGTGATAATAACGTTCCTGCCCCCAAGGAAGTTTTGGCCATTGAGTACACAAAGACACCAGAGATAGAGGCAGCACATTCACCATCACCTCCTCTGCCTGAACCGGAGAAAGTGGAAGTGACACCTCAACCTGTTGTTGAACCACCTGATTTGTTGGTAATTTCATAAGCTTGTATTTTTCTTCTAGCCCAAATATATTTGTTCACTGGGGATATGTAGCGGTTAAGCTAAATCCTTTCAAATTCCATTATCAACCGTTCTCATTGCTAGGCTTTGGATGATCCTGCTCCTGTTGCATCAGAATTAGATGAGAAGAATGCGTTGGCTTTGGCAATTGTTCCTATTGGTAAGTTGTTTTTCTTAACCGTTTTATGGAATGAACAATTAAAAATTATGTCTTTAGATGTTGACTAGTTGCTTCTCTCTTGGACTTTCTCCTGACAATAAACAGCATTGAGAAGTTTGATTGAAAGCAGTATCTTTGAATATATAAGCAAGTTTAAACTTATAACAGGATTTTGAAATGTGAGGAATATGTTCTCATTTAGCATCCTAAAAAAAGATGAATCATTAAAATTTTAAGCCATTGCAATGTATTGCCTAGGAATATTTACAATTTAAGAGCTCTTATATCATTCAATACAAGTAACAGTGTTGCTTGGGATGATAGTGAATTCTTGTCAATCAAATTAGGGAAGACAAACACTTGAAAAGTGCCATAAGTATTACATTGTATGAAATTGAAAGTTTGAGGGTTTGTTCAAATTAAAACTTGTTAAATGAAATCCAAGGAAAACAGTTGTGTTATTGCTTCTAAATATTGGGGGAAATGAATGAATCTAAAAATGTTGTCTCAAGTTGTTCAAATTGTACTTATGTTACTTTTTCCAGCTGAGCAAACTCCTGCTGCTCCAGTTCAAGCAAATGGAACCTCTGGCTGGGAATTAGCACTTGTTACTGCTCCAAGCTCAAATGACAGTGCAGCTGCTGCCAGCAAACTGGTACTTTTGCTACTATTCTTTCTCTCTCTACCAATCAGACAAGGTTCTAGGACATTTGATTGTCAAATTCTGATAACACTAAACCCATATCTTCAAAGACTTTGTCTATTTGGAGAAGCCATACTGATGGTTTTCTTTTTGTTTTGGTCCTATTGTGTTGTTCAATAGGCGGGAGGGCTAGACAAGCTTACATTAGACAGCCTTTACGATGATGCAATCAGAAGAAACAATCAACAAGCAACTTACAATCCCTGGGAACCAGCCCCAATGCCTGGTGCCATGATGCAACAGCCAGTCCACGACCCCTTCTATGCCTCCAACATGGTTGCAACTCCGCCTATGGTCCAGATGGCAGCAATGGCCAATCAGCAGCAGGCCTTCATGTTGCAGCAGCAGCATATGATGATGGTCCCTCAACAACAGTCTGGAAATCCTTTTGGCAACCCATATGGCGCCACTGCGCATCCCTACAGCTCAGGTATGCCTGTTCAAGCATACAACCCATATGCAGGCCTTATATAGAAGAATAAGCCAAACCTGGGAATTGTCGGCTGATGGTCTCGAGGATGAAAAACGGTTTAATAGAAAATTGTGTACCATATGTTGTGAATGTGCATTAGTTGGATTGATATTCTTTGCTTAATAATTAGTGAGAGAGAGAAAGAGAGAGGGCATTGGATTATTTGATTATTTATGTTGATTAGAGTTGGTAATAATGTTTCCTAGACTATGTTAATTTTTCAAAGCCCATTTTGGGACTGTCGAGTTGTAGATGATAGAAATTATTTGTAAATCTGAACTTTTGCTACCACAAACAATGAGGATAGATTTGAGTTTGACTTTTCTTAAGATGTCCTTTTTCTTTACCTCATTGTGAAGGATTTGAATTTTTTTTTTTAATCGAAGGATTTGAATTCTTGATCATGAATTTCCATATCAAAAAAAAAAAAAA